GAAGCAGCCCCGGGTGCCACCCCGGCTCACCCCAGCCGCGGGAAGCAGCCCAGCCCCATGCGGGGACGGGCCCCTGCCGGGTCTGGCTCTGGAGCCGTCTCCAGCGTGTCTGCGTGTGGTGCACACGGGAGAAGGGGGTGCTGACGAGGTGGGGCAGGGATGTGGGGCACCGGGGTGAGCAGCTCCCGCCAGCCTGAGGTGAGGGCTGGCTGAGGGTGCAGAGGGTCCGGTTGTGGGGGGAGGAAGGGAGCCCTGGGCTCTGCCCCCTCACAGGAGGCCCCGCGGGTTGCGGGCGCTGTTCATCTTCATGGCCTTGATGATGAGGATGGTGCCCACGACGATGCCGATGATGCCCACGGCCAGGCCCAGGGCACACACCAGGGTCTCGGTGCTCTCGGAGGCAGGGAGGGGTAGCTGGGGCTCTGCGGAGAGGTGGGGGGGAGGGTGGGTGAGGATGGGGCGCTGAGCCCCCCTCGCTGCCTGCAAGGGGAGGGGACCCAGGCGTCCGGGCCCCAGCCCAGCCCCGCTCCTCACCCCAGTGCTTCAGGAGGGGGGTGCTCAGCCCCTCATGCTCCACACGGCAGTCGTAGTAGTCCCCCCGGGCGGGGATGAAGGGCAGGGAGGGGGACTTGGGAAGCTGTGGTCCTCCCCCGGGGAGAAAACGGTCTCGAAGACGCCGTCCGTCACCTCCCGCCCGTTCCTCAGCCACGTGATGGAGATCACGGACGGCCAGAACTTGTCCACGTAGCAGATCAGGACGTTGGGGTCCCCCAGCTCCACTCGGCGTTTGGGGAACATCGTCACCTCGGGTGGCACTGGGGACAACGGGGAGGAGTTAGTGCTGCCCCAGAGCCTGCCAGGCCCCACGGCACGCAGGGCTGGTCACGGACGGCCAGAACTTGTCCACGTAGCAGATCAGGACGTTGGGGTCCCCCAGCTCCACGGGGTCCTCGGAGAACACGGTCACTTCGGGTGGCACTGTGCGGAGAGGGAGAAGGGGTCAGCGCAGTCCGGCGCTGGCCAGGCTGCTCTCCTCGGGCTGGGCTCAGGCTTCCTGCCCCATGGACCTGGCCTTGTGCTCCACAGAGACCCCGCGCCCCAGCTCGGGGCTGCGCCCGGCTCCCCACGCTCGGCGCTGGCCAGGCTGCTCTCCTCGGGCTGGGCTCAGGCTTCCTGCCCCATGGACCTGGCCTTGTGCTCCACAGAGACCCCGCGCCCCAGCTCGGGGCTGCGCCCGGCTCCCCACGCGCTCCAGGGGAACAGGGCGCTGTGCACCCCGCTGCCGGCTGGGGCGCACCGGTGGGCCTGGGACGGGCCCC